GTAGGGCCAACTCCTCGGAGCGGGTCGGGGCCGGCGCGCCGGTCTACCTGGCGGCCGTGCTGGAGTACCTGACGGCCGAGATCCTGGAGCTGGCGGGCAACGCGGCGCGCGACAACAAGAAGACGCGCATCATCCCGCGCCACCTGCAGCTGGCCATCCGCAACGACGAGGAGCTCAACAAGCTGCTGGGCAAGGTGACGATCGCGCAGGGCGGCGTCCTGCCCAACATCCAGGCCGTGCTGCTGCCCAAGAAGACCGAGAGCCACCACAAGGCCAAGGGGAAGTAAATTGGGACAATAAGGCATTTATGTCTTAGAGGAGGCAATTTCAACCAAAGGCTCTTTTCAGAGCCACCCACGTTTTCATTAAGAGGGCTTACAAACTCACTATATTATATTATTCGCGGTCTATTCAGTCAACCTGCGCTGGTTGTCGCAAAATAATGTCTATTTGAACGTCCCTGTGAATTCAGTTGCAGACATTGATGGGTATTGGAGGTCATTGCAGCCAGCCTAAAGTCTTCTACATCTTGTGAGAAATGCAATTCCACTTTTCCTGTGCAGCTAGTCAGTTGGGACTGCTGGGCTTGGTAGGGACAGGGAGCTACCACTCCTGACCCCGTTTACAGAAGGCTTCATTGTAAACGGCAGCACATGCATGTTCAATTTTAGCAAAAAGGGTGTGCTGTGGTAAACACTGGATTGCAAACTTGTAAATGTTAATCTCATCGTGCATTCATTACAAGCGTATTTTGAAAAGTACTAACGTATTATTAGCATTTCCATGCTTATTCGACAGTTTAAAAATCAGTTGACCAATCACCTTTCGCGCGCGAATTTAAAAAAAAAGTTGACTGGAAAATAGCATTTCTGGCGCCAAAACGAAATCTTTTATCAACCATACAAGACATATCTGAATAAGAGTAGATAGAACTCTGCGGAGAAAAGCCAAAGAATTGTATGAGAGGCTTAAGGGCGCACTGTGGAAACTACATTTGAGATGCAGTCAGTAATGCGGAGGATCTGGGATGACGTTACTATTTGGTCGAAATGAAAGAGAAGTTCCCGTGATTAGGGATTCAGTTTCACCACCAATAACCTTCTCTGTGAGCTGCACGTGATGACAACCTGTCCAATCAGAACAGGGCTGTCTTTATATAAAGACGTAGAGAATCAGAACAACACTTTTTATTTAAAGTCGTCTTCTAGAGTCTAGTGCGCCATTTTACTTCGGCTAAATTTTTTTTTTTAATTTTTACTTATTGTTATGGCCCGCACGAAGCAGACGGCTCGCAAGTCCACCGGCGGCAAGGCCCCGCGCAAACAGCTGGCCACCAAGGCGGCCCGCAAGAGCGCCCCGGCCACGGGCGGCGTGAAGAAGCCGCACCGCTACCGGCCCGGCACCGTGGCGCTGCGCGAGATCCGCCGCTACCAGAAGTCCACCGAGCTGCTGATCCGCAAGCTGCCGTTCCAGCGCCTGGTGCGCGAGATCGCGCAGGACTTCAAGACCGACCTGCGCTTCCAGAGCTCGGCCGTCATGGCGCTGCAGGAGGCGTGCGAGGCCTACCTGGTGGGGCTGTTCGAGGACACCAACCTGTGCGCCATCCACGCCAAGCGCGTCACCATCATGCCCAAGGACATCCAGCTGGCGCGCCGCATCCGCGGGGAGAGGGCATAAACTGTTTTTCCTATCAAGTGAACAAGAACCAAAGGCTCTTTTCAGAGCCAAACCAAGACTTCCAAAAGATGCTGTGCATTGTTTTGCTGTTTCTAATATGAGATATTCTAAGAATTCTTCATTTAAAAAAGTTTAAATTTGGGTGAATAAGGCTTTTTTGGGGGCTAATTTGTATGGTTTCCTTGGCACCAGGCTTGTGAGGCCTATCTGGGAGAGGCGGGAGTGCTTTTGCTGCGTCTTTGCAGAGTCTCAGGACCTCGGTGAAGGAAGAGAGCCCTGCGGTCCTACCCTTTGGGGCACTTGGCCTTTTTTTTCGTATAAGAACTCGCAACAGGTTCGTTTAAGATTGCCGCATTCGTTTTCTAACAGGCGGGGTGGGGAGCTGCCAAATCTGCAGGGCGCAGGCGCAGTCGTGGGCTCTGCTGACGCCACCAACCACACTAAACGCTGATTGGTTCCTTTTCAATCCTGTAAGCGACCAATTTCCTTTACACTGTAGTAGTATTCAGAAAAGTAAAAATTTCCCTACAGCGAATCAGGCCTACCAATCAGTGCGTTGCTGAAGCTTTGCATCCTTGTTTTCTTGGTCTGTTTTTTTTTTACCACAGCACTTCAGCCTTTACCAGATGGTCTTGCTGTGATTCATTTATTAAGACATAACATGCTTTTCGCTTCTGGTCGAAGTTCTTCCCTGCATGGCTTTATTTGATTCTGTGCCTGTCCTAGTCTAATCTCGGCGTTCTTTACATTGCATGGCTGGTTTTCACCATCATCCGTAAAATCTCTTATCGGAGGTTACAGGACAATTCAAGATTCTCACATTGGAGCTGTTCACGGTTACTTGGTATGAAACCTTTGTGAAATGAAAATGTATTTCAGGCTAGAAAGAGAGTTGTAGTTCTCATGCTCATTGGGAAGGCCAGTTTAGAGATTCAAGCGTTCATCATTTCTGTAGGAACGTGGGCCAGGAGCTGCTCCCTCCCTGCCTGATCCCCATTCTGAAGATCTTTGCTGTACGCAGCAGGTGCCGTCCACTCATGCATGATGGCTGGACCCTGCTTCTCAGTGTCTACTCCCGAACAGATCTCGACAAACCCAATCTCTTCTGGGCTCCGGCCTTTCACTCGACATCTCTTCAGTTTTACTAAGAAGACCTTTACTGTTATTAGTGGGCACTTGAATTCTTCCCTGTCCTTGGTCACCAAATCCGGTCTGTCCTCAAGTTGGATGAATTCTTCCTAAGCCATCACCTTCCTCTTATTTCCACCACCATCTACCCCTTGCCTGTTCTGTTTCCCAGCCTTCTTATGAGCTTTTCCTTCACTCTCTCTGCTTGTCCATCCTTTTCATTGCGTTAGGTAAAATAGCCTACAGGTGAGCTGTCACTGCATTTCCCGTTATTCTGTCACTGCGTTTGAAGAGTGTAGCACTCGGGTTTTCTCAGATGGCCTTAGGTCGCCATCGTGTTGTTCATGTTGTATGGAATTAACAAGGATTTACTCGTATTTTATCTCTTCCTAGTGGACTTTAAACCTGTAAAAAAATTATTTTCCTTCAAGATGCAAAAGAGAAGAGGCAACGAGGGTGCTTATACTCCCCTATGTCCCCATCCTGAGCCTGTCCAGATCATGGACATGGACACCCAGCAGGCACAGGAAGACCTCAGGACGTGAGTATGAGACCTTCCCCGGACCAGCTCTATTACAGCGAGGCCACCATATGGCCGCATTATTGGTAGCTTTTAAGGGATCAAATAAAGGCTTGGTTTTCCAAGTGTGGCATGTGGTCATTGAAGTAAAATAATCTGTATGAATACATACACGGGCTTGTGTAGCACCGGGTAGAGCTGACAGCCGGCATCTCTTCGGGTCGCTTCATCCTGCCATCTGGGCTCATGCTGAACGCGTGTTTTCTGCACCGCGCACCTGTGCAGATCCCGACTGGAGTTCCGACAGCACTGAGGATGAATTGTGGTTATGGAACTAGTAGCCCGATCCCTGAGCTGCCCTGGATACCTGTCCTCGTAAGGGGAGTTTAAACATCATGGTAAGGGTAAGCAATGTAGCCAGGAGTCATGTTCAGCCATCATGTTCCAGTCAGGGTAAAACAAAGGCACGTGACACCCACAAGAGTGTTGGTCTCCTTGATACGTTGGGGAAATCAACAATACTGACAATACTTTGCTGTTTCTGTTCCTATACAGAAAAGGGAAATAACACAATTTCTGTTTGGGTAAACACTGATAGAGTGACATAAATGTGACAAAAATGTAAGGTAGTATGAAAGGAACTGCAAAATTAGGCGGGAAAATCTCATATCTCTTATACAACAAAGCAGAAAAGAAAAAAAGTGCAAAATTTTTTAGAAGACGGGTGCACATGAATCCAATTACTTGTAAATCTTGTGAGCAATTTCCTGACTAACTCGAGTTATTTCTTAGTTTTCTAGTGTGTGCTTATGCACGCTCACCAGAGAGAGACAGGGAAGCGGAAAGCTTCATGGGGCACGGTCACACTGCAATCCCTTCTCCAACTCTCCCTCCTTTCTGGCTTTTGGGCATGAGAGCACCTGTGTTTGGAGTGTCTCTTGGGCTGATCCACAGCTGAACTCAAACCACGCCTTGGCTATGTGGGCCCCAGCTGTTGCTGCCATAGTCCAAGGGCTGACCCCACACATTTTATTACCCCAAGGTATTCTGTTCAGGGACTTGGGCCAGTCCTTACATTGTTAAAATCAGACTGGATTTAATCCCTGGAAAGACTTGCCTCTGTGGCTAAGGGTTGAGTTTAAAAGTGGTCATTGTTGTCCACAAAGAGGCTCTAAGACCAGAGAGAATGGAAGCAACCTTGTGGTCCTTAGTCCATCGAGAAAGTGTTGCCTGTCCCCCTTGGTCTACTGCATGGTTTTCATTCCAAAGTTCACGGAGCCGTTCAGCGTTCCTCTTGCCGCGTTTATGAAAGCTGGGGTCTTTCAAGTCTCTTAGGATCCCGTAGAAGAGGTGTCCCTGGACATTCCTGTGAAAGAGCCTCTTTGTTCTAAATGGCGACGATTAAGGGCCCCTTCTCAGAGGACTCGTTTTTGCTGTAGTTAGAGGATGATACCCCATTGGAAGGTCTGGGAATGCTTTTCTCTCTGATATCTCCTTCCCTTCTGTCTCTGACCCTCATTCTCCTGCCAGGCCACCCAGAATTTTCCTTCCCCAGAGGGTGGTTGAAACTTTCCCGCAAGCCTGCCATGAAACCTCAAGCTATCACGCAGACTTTCCCTGCCTCTCTGTGTAAGGGTTGGCTGTAACGAAATCCTCTGACCTACCCTGTGTGATAATAGCCCATAAGACTCATTCCAGAAGAGTCTTGCCAAATTCCTGAGATGAGGGAAGACCATAAAGAAAGGCCAAGAAGAGTAAGAAGTCAGGCCTGGCTGGGTTTCCCAATCAATTTCCCTTTGTCTCCCTTTGTCCAGTCACATTCTATGTGGCTGCCCCTGTTCCACTGAACCGAAGTGTAACACCAGACCGTGTCCTGTGTCTGGGCCTTCTGTCAGAAAGCTTCCATGTACACGCTTCCGTGAGCATCCATGGGCCTTTTCTCTCATTACTTTGCCTAACGTTATTCATGTTCAGCGAGCCTCGCAGCGCAAATGCTATTGCCCCAACGTTTCAAGTGCGTTCGCTCTCTCCACATTGGTTTATCAAGGGAAACAATTTAAAAATACTGTGATCAAATAATAAAAACATAGACTTAAATATTACCTTATGTGTTCATAAAAACATTAAATAATATTTAATCGATTGACTATGGACTGTCACCATTTAGAAGGACAGAATCAAGTGAGATGTCGCCATTCTGCCAACTGTGCTGTGATGTGAATGGTCATGTAAGTCCCGCTCATTACAACACCGGTAACCTAGGCCTTTCCTCCGTCTGTGATCCCTTAGAGCTCAGGTTTACTTTGACAATAGCAAAAATAACGTCCTGATTTTCCTTTCTCTACCCATTCCCAGGTACCCAGTCCTGCTGATGTACCTGTTTCAGAACCCCAGGCTGCATGCGTGGCTCTGTACTGTGAGTGGGAAACACGTGGGCTGGAGCTGTCCTAACTCACTGGAGAAGCCAAATCCACTTAAAGCACTTTAACTCCTCTGGGGCTAATGAGGCGCTGAACGGTGAAGGAATTAACATTGTGTGAATTTCTGAAAGCCAAGTTTTAACAGATTGGGCTCATCACCTTAGAGGGTAAATGTGGGGAGGTGTTGAGAGTAATAGTTACATATATAGTCATCATTAATGTTTACTGACTGCTTATTAAAATCTAGGTATTGTACGAGGACGATTTCATAGCCATCTTTTTTGAGCTTCAGAGATCCTCTGTAGATTAAATCTTTACGTTAAAAAGGAAAAACAGGGAACCAGCAGTTAGCGTAATGGCTATGTCGCTGGATTCCCACGTAGTCGACCGGTTCATGTCCCAGACCCGGTGGCTTAAAACTCACGCCGGGCACGTGTGCGTGCGTGCCCAAGACCCCGAGAGGAGAATGGAGAAGGGATTGTGGCGTGACCATCCCCCCTGGGGGGTGATTTCTCGCTTTCTGTCTCTCTGTCTCTCTCTGTCTGTCTGGCGAGCGCACGCGCCCTACAGTGAAAATCTCTCAAAAAAAAAAAAAAAAGGAAAAACAAATTTTAAACATTATAGGTAAGACTTGTTAAAGCCGCATTTGCAGCTTTATAAAAGGACAACAACGTGTATTATCTTATGTTCTGGGAAACATGGGAGGAAAACGTCAGGCTTTTTGGTGCACAGTATGAATTTCACGCCCAGTTAATGGCTGCTAGTCTTTTTGGGGTAATAAATTCGGTATCAGATACGCCACTGTATTGGATCCTGGCAGGGCTGCTTTCAGTTTGAGCAAGACACAAATGGCGTGGTAGGGCGGGACTAATTTAGGTTCCCGCCCATAGACTTAGTTCTCAATCAGGTCCGTTACATTCCTATAAAAATACCGAGTGCGGCAGAACGCAGCACTCTTGGATTCTTCTTCTTATTGTTTGCGATATGTCTGGTCGCGGCAAAGGCGGGAAGGGCTTGGGCAAGGGCGGCGCCAAGCGCCACCGCAAGGTGCTGCGCGACAACATCCAGGGCATCACCAAGCCGGCCATCCGCCGCCTGGCCCGGCGCGGCGGCGTCAAGCGCATCTCCGGCCTCATCTACGAGGAGACCCGCGGGGTGCTCAAGGTGTTCCTGGAGAACGTGATCCGGGACGCCGTCACCTACACCGAGCACGCCAAGCGCAAGACGGTCACGGCCATGGACGTGGTGTACGCGCTAAAGCGCCAGGGCCGCACCCTCTACGGCTTCGGCGGCTGAGCGACCCCGTCCTCGCGTCCCGTCGTTACCCGACCAAAGGCCCTTTTCAGGGCCGCCCACAAAGTCGTTTAAAGGGCTGAGTACTTTCACAGATGTCTGAAACTGTTTGAGTTAACGGGCGACACGTGACAAGTGGCCTTTTCCACAGTGAGGTGGTGGCGGAGGGGATGCTCCGTTCTGTATAGTTCGCGGGCACTTGACGTCCCAGCGTGATCAAGGAGCACTCTAGCAGTGAAGCTGTCAGGAACGTCGGGTACACAAAGGGCTCCTGACGTCAGAGCTTAACGGCTGCGGGAAGCTCCGGAGACACTTTGCGGGGGAGGAGGAGAAAAGGGGAGAAGGGGCAGGGAGTGCGATTCTAAACCTTGCAGAGAGTTCACCCAAACCGCCATGGTAGCTGCCTTAGCGGGGAGGACCAA